TGAACTGGCCAGCTCAGATAGTTAGTCTCAGCCCAGATCCAGGGCTTTGAATTGCTGGGGTACATGAAGGGGCCGGTCCTACAGATCCAAAACTACAGGATCTCCATGACACAGGCCAATAGCAGCATATCCTAGAGGAGTTCGAGTGAGGATCCAGTAATGATAGAGCAGCAGAAGCCATAGGCCTTGTACTAGACCAACAAGCCATTGCGATAAACATTTTCAAGCAAAGAAGTGAGGGCACAAGGGTCCACTGTGGGACACATTGTGACACACCGCAGCTTCCACAACAAGATTCTTTTTCTCTGTTCAGTGAGCTTGCAAGGGTGGATAGCTAGATGAGTGGGATTGGGGTGAAAGATGAAATTCACAAAGAACCAATAAAAGGTTGTTTTCTTAATGGCTTCTGGGGACTGGATGATCTACCAAGCTCATCTTTCCCAGAGAAGATTGATTCTACCCCACCATGCTTGCATGTGAACTGGTGGTGTCACTGTGCAGGTCCTGTTTGGGTGGCCATGTCACTGAGATTTCATGAGAGCAGTATCCCTATCATATATAGAGAAGACACTCCCATAGTTGGCATCCTGGTCCCTGGGCTTTCAAGAGACATTGTCTCCTACTGGATACCCTGGTTCTCTGGCTCTTACCTTCTTCCCACTCTCTCTACTGTGATAGTGAATTTCTTATTAGTTACCAAAGGAAAAAAATTAATTAATAATATTAATGATTAGGATGGAGAAATCCAGCCAACACCACATTAACCAGGTCATTAAAGCAAAGGAAACAGTTGGCTGTTTTTGTGAATTCAACCAACTGCAGGTCCAAAAAAAAAAAAAAAACATGGAAAAATTGCATCTGCATTGACCACTGTGACCTTTTCTTGTTATTATTTTGTAAGCGTTTACAGGGTAAAGGTATTATAAGCTATCTTAATGTGTTTTAACATTAATGGAAAGATGTGCATGGGCTTTATGAAAATAGAAGGTTATTTTATACAGCTCCCGAGCACCCACTGATTTGGGTATCATATTACCCACAGATGTAGAGTGTTTGCTTGCTTAGCATCCATGAGGCATGGGTTCAGTTCCCAGTAGCATATGCATCAGGTGTCATGGCACAAAACTTAATCCCAGCACTAAGAAAGTAGAGACAGGAGAGTAAGGAAGCCAAGGCCATAGCCAGCGACACAGAGTACAAGGGTAGCCTGAAGAAACATAATAGGTCCTCTCTCAAAAAGAAGAAGCAGTGTTACATCTTGAATATATTCAGAGATGTCTACGTACACTTGATTAGACCTTCATATATACACTACATTCTTATGGGAGAAGGGGCACACATAAGCAGCCCGAGTGAGGTGTATATTCTTTGCTTGTTGCTTTGCTTCAGTTTTGAAATGATCTCAACATAAAAAGTTTAACAGGGTTACTGAAAAGCAATCAGAAAGGCCATGTCACCTTTAGTGATAGAGGTTCTTAGAATTCTAGGGTCTGGAGGTTTGTCATTTTGTCAGAAAAACTGTATTTGTTATTTTCTTGGCACTGTGACAGACTCCTGAAGGGAGGAAGGTCCAGGTGGGCTTGGGATTTAAAGGGATGCGGCCCACCAGGGTGGAGTGTGGCAGAGTTCATGGCGGCATGGCTGTGTGGCTGTAGCTTCTCCCATCCCAAGGCCCAAGGGGTGGGGCGCTTGGGTGGGGGCCTGGGCCTGACTGTAACCCATAACCCGCCCTCATCAGGAGTCCACTTCTTCCAGCACAGCTGCAGTACCGAACAGTCTATGTCCTCAGTGCCACCACCTGGGCAGCCGAGGACTGACGGTTCAAACACACGAGTGTGCAGGAGGTTGCACGCTTAGTCAATGACAAACACAACCTAACAGGTGACCTTGTAGCTTGTCAATGATCCTAGGACTCTGATTTTATTATCCACATTATCAAGCTTCTGTTTATAAATAGTAAGCAGTGACGTAAATAATGTTCTTGAATAATCACCCACATGCAACATCTAGAAATCAAAACAAGTATATGTTGAACGCCACCATTGTGAAGGATGCGATAGTGACAGAAACGGTGCGGTGCTTCCTCCCTCCACAAGTCCACGTAGCAGGGTGCTGAAGGGCAATGTTTGTGACTCACAACCACCAACAAGCTGCTTGTGCAGTGGAGAGTCTGAGCTTCTGTGCCTTGGCACAGATGGGTGGTGATGTGGGGCAGGAAGAACAGAATGTTCTGATGCAGCTTAGGAGGGTTCTTGAGGGCCCCCGCACAGGCTCCTGGACAAGCGGCCACTGGCCCTTTCCTTTGATTTAGTTTTCTTTTCACTTGAGACAGGCTGTCTTTGCTGTGGTTGGCTTGGAACTCACTGTGTAAGCCAGGCAGGCTTTGAACTCCTGGCTAGTGCTGGCACCACAGCTGATCTCCTCCCAGCTCAGCTCAGCCTTTGATGGTGTCACCACAGGAGCTGTTCTAATGAATGCATGGTGGCTGCTCAATATTTTCTTATGAGAAAAACACACTAATAATTTAACATATATAACATAAACATCAAGTTAAACATTTGGTCATTGAGGGAGATGTTACTTTCCCTTTGCAAGACTTGTTAGTTGTGCAATGGAAACTATTTTCCTGGGAACAAAAGGGGAAGCCATTTCTGTGATACATAGATGTGTGAAAAGTTCGTGCTAACAAGATCAACAAGGGTTTCTGGGAAAGTGTTGTTAGCACAGGGGGAAGGCACTCCAGCATTGTCCAAGTCATCACACATTGTCTTGGCAGGCCAGCCAGAGCAGACACAGCTAAAGAAGTAGATGGTTTAGTGGAAGGTGCTAAGTGGAGATAAAGGGAAGACATGAGCAAAGGGATGCGGAGACAGTGGAGAGGAGAGAGAACGGGGCTGACAGAGGAATCAGGCTCTTGGGGAGAGAGCAGAGGTGAGGACTTGCATGAACTAGACCCTGTGCAGAGCAGGATCACAACACTGGACTGGTGTGACAAGAGTGTGACACTGAAGTACAGAGCCTGAACATAGGCCACAGGGGAAGCTAGGACACATGGAAGCTGCACTTCTGCTTTCTGTTGTTCTGTACACCTAAAACTACTGTAAAAACAAGAAAAGGTCTTCTGGAATGAATGGATGAATGAGTGAATGAATGAGTCATAAACTCATTTCACAAGAATGGAGCATATAAAATTCTAGAAAATTAAACTGTTTTACTGGGTTTTAACACATTAACATTTGTGACGATTTGAATCCTGTTAGAACACACCTACTTGTTTAAAGCCCCACATTGGAATAGGAAAAAGAGAGGCAGCAAGAACAGCTCATTCTGAAAGGCCAAAAAGCCTAATAAATGTTTTTATAATATACTTTACATAGTAGTGTTAGATTGATTTCCCCATCTCCAAGTAGCCTGAAGCCACTTCTGGCCTCCATCCCAGGAGGGAGGACAGTGGTCACTTTTCAGAGTTCTTTTACTCCAGGAACCAGTACCTTACCTCTTTCCTAGTGAGGACAGGACAGTTAAATTGCTGTGTTAGGGGGAAGACTCCTACCTCCTATCCAGAGCTGGCTTCCTGGGTCTGAGCTTTGCTGGGGCCTAGGCTAAAAACATCTCGCTTTATGGTGTAAGAGGCAGCTCAGTTGGTAGAGTGCTTGCCTGGTGTATTCAGAAGCCTTGGGTTTGACCCATTCTTCGCAACACACTGGGGGCAGTGTTTCATGCCTGCATGAGCTAGACACGATGCTAGGGTATATGAAACACTGTCTCAATAAAGAAAGGTCTCGCCGCTGATTTCATTCTCAGCAGTACCCATCTTCAAATTCCTAAGCATCCGTACGCCAAGGCATTTTGATCTTGTCCATAAAATTGTAGCAGGCCCTGCCCTGATCTTCTTTGTCACATGATATGCTAACACAGTAATCTAGTTTATTTCTCTCCGATGTCTAGCCAGGGCTTGTCACAAGAGACTGACACCCACAGGCATGAATGAGGTGTCACAGTGGTACTGTGCCTGTCAGAGAGCTAGCAGTGGGGAGGGTCTGAGGTGAACTGGATGACTGTTTTAAAGTTATGGCGAATGTGGCTGGCTGAGCAGCATGTGGACGTGAGCTTCCCACAAGCCAAGTTTTCCAATTAATGGGAACAGACAAAACAAAAACCCTACAGATGCATGTTTACATCAACTGTAAGCTCATTTTATTTTAAAATCTTGACCCAAGTAGGAAAAGCGACCTCCTGTGAGCCAAATGAAACATCTGCTTGGCTGTAGCTTGGTTGTTCTCTGGTCCACAACTTCAGAACCACAAGCCCACCTAGCTTCCCTTCCTGCTTCTCACTAGGCCTGACTTTTAGAATACTAAGCAGTTACTTGCATAGTGTGGAGGGTTTAAACTGTGGGAGCGAATGGCTGCCCGGGCCTGGGAGAAGCAGAATTTCCTTCTAGTTCAGAGGCTAAAACCTGCAGCACAGGTCACCCAGCTCAGGTGCCCTTCCGCATGCTGGCTGCACTGCTCTCTTTTAGGCTGTTTCCTTGATTTCTCACTCCTTCCATCTATATGCCTGGAAGATCATTCAGATTTTACTCGATAGTTTAGAAGCCATACCCCAGACATTTTAAAACTGTTTCCTTCCCCTGCTCCAATTCCCTAAGTGGCAGGGAAGCTGCACAGGCTTACCTAATGTGCAGCTCACAGCTTCAAGAGTGCCACCGTTGTGTAAGGCTCAAGCTGTGCAGCAGCACGTAGCACCAGGCTGTCCGGCCATGCAAACAGCAGTGTAACGATGGGAGATGGTATCAGGGGTACCTACTCATTCCTCTAAAAAATGCTGGGAGTTAGGGTGAGGTTGTTCCCAGGGTTCCTACTCAAATGATGCTGAGGCTACCTCAGAAGGGAATTAATCTTGCTTTTCCTATTTCACACAGACAGACCCAGGAAACTTGTGGAGTAACTCCTAAGATGCTTTAAAAGCAGTCTTCAGAGAGTGAACATGCACAAAGCCACCTTGAAAGGCTGTTTACACTTAAGTCTCTCAAAAACAGAGGGAAGCTGGCTCTTGCCTCCTGCAAGGTTGACGCTCTTATGAAGAGCAGCCTCACAGGGTGTGCCAGGGACGGAACTGTGCCAGGCCTCAGTCATCTCCCAAGAAGAGCCTGAGTTCAAGGCCATCGCCACCTTCAAGTTCCTTTTCATTGTCTTTGGTAACAGGCAGGTTGTGTGCTTTTCCCTGATTCCCTTTCTTACGCGTACAACATGGGTTTTTCTTCTCTTTGATCTTGGAATGCGAGTTTGAAATAGTTTCTCTTTCCATAGCATGTTGTAGGCAGTTATAAAACCTGTAAAAGAATTAAATATGCAGTTACGTGAGTGAAACTGAATGACTGAAATATACCTATAACTGACCTGCTTTTTAAGTATGACAATGTCCTGTGTTAACCTTATAAAATCAATTACAATTTTCTTTGCTATTATAACTGTAAAATGTGTTTTCAGCTCTTTAAGAACAGCACCAACCATTCAGCCAACCATTCAGACGCCCACTTCCAGCTGACTGCTGTTTCCACCTCTGTATGCTGCTTGCCTTCTTACCATTCTGCTCCTCCCACTACAGGCACCTTCTTATGAGACCCACCAGGGCCCATCCAGGGGTCCCCTTAGCCATCTTCTAGGTGCACAGTGAGCTAACAGTCCCTCATCTTGGAAGCCCTGTGTTTCTAAAGACCACCTCTCACTGCTCACAGTCCCTTCATGACCTTTATGACAATATATGGGATACTATGTTAACTTCAGGGGTCCTGCAAGCCAGAGCACACTGTGTGAGCTGGAGAGATGAGGACACACTGTGTGAGCTGGAGAGACTGAGCACACTGTGTGGCATTCGCACAGGTGAAAGCTGCAAACCACTCAGCTGTCCATCAGCAGAGGGTCAGGGAAACAGCACAACGGGGTGTTGCCAGTTTGTAAAGGAAAAATGACTGATGCTTCAGGACAGGAGAGCCCTCGGGGAACCAGCTGCTCAGGGACTACAGCTCAGCACACAAGGCCAAGGTTCAGTCCCCAGCACTGCAGCAGACACAAGCACCACCTCATCACAACCGAGAGCACACAAGCAGCTACACAGCAGCAGCTGCACAGTCTCACGGACAGCCAGCAGGCAGAGTCAAGCTCACACACACAGGGAAGGAAGTGTTCAGAGGGCTGCAGAACAGAGGGTCCATGTTCGGCTCAGGACAATGAAGCCTCTGGAGATGGATGGTGTGAATGCACGTAATGCCACTGGCACATAAACTTCTGTTACACATATTTTACCACAGTAAAAAAGATTTAAAAAGATCAACCACTGGAAAACAGACTCAGTTACTCTGCCTTTCTCATTTCTTTATTCTTAACAATATTATATGCCAATATATTCAGCCCTTTCTTCTGTTTTATTTAATATTTTATTACACAGTTGATGAAAAGAAGAACTTGGTTAATTTCTTTCTACTCAGCGTCACATGGCTTCATCGGACCCAGGTCCTGATCTCATATTAATAGACAGAGAAGCCCTTCCTCCTGCAGCCAGAGGCAGATCTACAAACTGAGCTTTCCACCTGGAAATCGTCACGTATGAAATATCTATGGTGTCTGTCAGTCCCTGTCTCTTTACAAAGCAGGCCATGCTCCCAGGACTTCCGTGCCTGGCTCCAGACACTGTGGGCTCGGCTGTTCTGCTGGCTCAGTCCCTCCCCACAGAGAAGCAGGCATGGAAACTATTTTTCACAAGCAAGAATATGACCTTTTATCTATTTTTAAAAAATTATTTATTTTTATTCACTTTACATCCTGTTGTAGATCCATCCCTCCTTCTCTCCTAACCCCGCCCTCCTTCCCCTTTCCTCAGAAAAGGGGAATTCCCTTTCCCACCCAGCCAGCTCATCAAGTTGCATCAGGACTGAGTATGTCCTCTTCCCCTGTGTCTTAGCAAGGCAGGGGGAAGTGATCAAAAAAATGGAAAGTAAGTCCCTGTCCAATGCAGTCTCCACTTCCCTTACTAGAGAACCCACATGAGGCCTAAGCTGTCCGTCCATCTGCTACATATTTGTAGGGTGGTCTAGGCCCAGTTCATACATGGTCCTTGTTTGATGCTTCAGTCTCAGCAAGGCTCTCTGGCCCCTGGTTAGTTGGTTCTGTTGGTCTTCTTGTGGAGCTCCCATCACTTCCAGGTCCTTTTCTCATTCCTCCCACTTTTCCACGAGACTCCCAAAGCATCACCCAATGTTTGGCATCTGTTTTGATGGGCTGCTGGGTACAGCCTCTCAGAGGATAGCTATGCTAGGTTCCTGTCTACATTCTTTGCAGAGTATCATTCATATTGTCAGGGGTTGGCACTCTCTGATAGGGTGGGCCTTTGGTTGGGCTGGGCATTGGTTGGGCATTCCTTCAGTCTCTGCTCTATCTGCTCTGTCTTTATCCCTGCACATCTAAAAGCAGGGTAAATTTTGTGTGAAGTTTTTGTGGGTGGGTTGCTCTTCCTCTAGTGACCTTTCATTATTAAAATTATTCTAGGGTTTGAGGAGATGGCTCAGCAGGAAACCGTGCTTGCTGCAGAAGCATCAGGACCGACTTCAGATGCCAGCGCCCACGCACAAGGCTCGGGAGCCGACTGTGAGCCTTCCAAGAGCCTGTGAGAAGCAGAGATGAGGGGCTGCCAGAACCTTCCGCCGCTGCCTTGGACCAGGTTCAGGGAGGAGCCCTGTGTCATGGGGATAGGACAGAGAGTAATAGGGCACGGCCAGGACTTGACATTCATAGGAACACTTGCACACACATAGCACACAAACATACACCTACACACATGTGCAGACACCACATACACAATATATCACAACCATATGCAAGTTTGTACACATGTGTACTCACCATATACCACATACACATCCACTCACACAGACGTCTGTGCACCAGACACACATGCATCACTCACAAATATGTATGCACTCCTCGCACATCTGTATATGCCATGCGCACATACACCACACCTACACACACATATAACTTGTACACATGCAAGTACTTTGAAGTACTTTAACTCTTCTCTTAATTGTCGTGCTGCTGAGCTGTGTGTGGTTGATGGGCCAGGACCCCCGATTCTTTTCCCTGTCTGGATCCTGATGAGATAGCCCTCCCTCCCATGCTCCCCCTCACAATGCTGGCCTTTCCCCGTAGGACCAGGAGCTCTGCGCCTGCGTTGGCTCATGTCCCCAGAGGAGCTGTAATGCGCTTGTGCTCTGAATCCACACACGATCTCGTAATCAGCTTCTTAAGACACTTTTCCCCTTCTTTAATTTTTCCTGATTTTATATGATGAGCCTTCTCTCTTGATGGGGGCATGCAGATTATCATCTCAAAACACATTTTTGAGTCAATGGATTTAAGTTGTAATTTGATTTTATGGTTGGTGAGCGTGGCCCAATTAACTTCACCAGGTGTCTAGTTAGTTGATCTTGGGCTATATTTATAATCTTGTTGAAATTCAGGGCAGAAAAGAGAGAAACTAAACCGCTGCTGCCTGCATTCCCTCCCACAACAGCTCCTGGGGCTTGCTGGCAGGCAGACAGTGAGCTGTGGAGCTGGCTTCAAGTGTCCATGCGGGGCTCAGCATTGGCGATTTGCTGGGTAGTGAGGCTCTGCAGCTGCGGCTGCTAGCCTGACGGTTTAGCATGGGTTAGAACATCATACTGTGAGGCCGGGACTCACGACGGTCTCCCTAAACCAGGAGGCGTCAGCGCGGCGCTGAGATGGCCACTGTGTGCACGAAATCAGCCTCCTGCTTCTGATCTGGTGCAGGTCATACTGCTCCCCAGGGAGGCGCCATTCACTTGAGGAATTCTAGGCTTCTGGGTCACAGGGACAGCAGAGGATGGGCTTCCGCTGGTCTCAGCTACAGGTGACACCGCTAGGTAGGTAAAGCTCCAGGCAGCCAGGGAAGGAAGCTATGGGTTCAAGGACACAGCTGACACCAGTGCGGAGACACCAGTGCGGCCCGCTTAGACGAGTGGGAAGCCCTGTCTACCCTGCTCTGGGAGGGGCGCTACACAGGTCCTGAATACGACAGGCAGGGAAGGTGCAGAAAGAAATGACTGACTGAAGAGTTTTGTAGGCCGTGATGCACTAGGAGATGGCCAGAAGTGTGGGGAACAGGAAAAATGCACAGTACATCAAAAGGTGACTTAGAAAACCCAGTCACAGTCACCTGCAGCTTGGAAACGCATAGTTGGGGCTGGCGAGCCACGGCCAGATGGCTCAGCGGTTAACAGCACTTGCCATACATGTCTCAAGGCCTGAGCCTGCCCATGTGATTACACCATGTAAGCCACAGACCTCCACGGCTGTGCTTTGGAAGGACACGTGCACATGCACACACAAGCACATGCATGCACATACACTGGCACACATATGTGCACATGGACACACACACACAAACACACGATGCAGTGTGCCTTGAGGCCATCACTGGCACCACATGCACACACGAACGGCAGTACTTACAGAAAAAGTTGAAGGAACTGTGTGCTAGTCCGCTTGCCAGGGGGCACAGCAGAGGGACCAGAGTAGAGGGACGAGACTGAAGTCTGGCCCCTTCTAGCTGGCCAATGAGGCAATCCAGATTTTCCCCACAGCTGGCTGCTGAGCTAGCCTGGGGTCTCAGATCCACAAGACTGAAAAGGAGTGTGGGCAACAGCAAGGCTGTGCTCACAAAACCTTCCTGCAGCCTGTTCCCACGCTGCTGGACTCCCTCCCAGTGAGGACTGTCTGTAGTAGTGCTCCTGGTGCTCCCATGCTCGGTGTCTCTGCAAAGGCTCCCTCTGCAATCCTAGTGCCCATCGCAGTGTGTGTGTCCCTATTCTCAAGAATGATGTAGGCATATGCGGAGAACGTGGGAATAGAGAATTAACTGTACCTCCCAATTCTTTTCTTGTTTTCCTCCATTTTCTTATTTGCTATAGTTAACAGGAACTCGATATACTCCTCTGTCACCATCAGTTTTCCCTTATGGCTTAACGGAACTTCAAGTCCATGTGTACTCCGGACAGCCTAGAAGAAAAAGCAGTTCAGACATGAAGACAGAGCCACCGATGACAGTGAGACAGAGGGGAGTCAGGGCTTCGTCGGAACAGCTAACTTCCATTATAGCACGTAGGCTCTGATTTGATATAATTTTGCCAATGCAAACCAATTAAAGGTCTCATCAAGTGCAGTTTCTTCTCAAGAAGGGCATTTTAGACATTGTTTTTCAGAGACACAGATAGTACCAAAGAATTCAGTAACTTTGTACAGTTTCCATCTCACTATAGCTTCAAAAGCTTTAGCACACATTTAAAAAAAATAAATGAATGAAACATCAGAAAAAGCCAGAGTCTGTTTGGGCATCTGCTGGAGCAGAGCAGGGAAGCAGGAACCGTGCTTCCTCCACCATGCAGCCTGGCTGCCTGTTTAGTGCTCTGGGCTGCTGACCTCATAACTGTCCAGGAAGCACTCAGCACATCTCTGTGCATGGAAAAGCTGCAGAGAGGGGTTAGCACAGCAGCAGAACCCTAAACCCTGCTTGTATTGAAGAATGGAAAGTTGTGCTTTAATTTTTTTAGAGCCCCTCTGAAGCCATGACAGTGCAAAAGGAGCACAGCCTGGTGCCGACTTTAAGAGCTCACACTTAGAAAGAGAAATAAACAACCACACAGAATCACAGTGCAACCTGGATGTCACAAGAGAAGAAACATATGAATCCATGTACATGCACACACAAATGAAAAATGGTAATAACATGGCAAATGTACTGGTGGGCTCAGATCCACACCAAAGCCAGCATCTGACTGGAATTTCCAGGGACAAGGACAATTTCATCAGACATAAAAACAGAGAGTAAAGGTTCTAGTCAGAGCAGCCACAGTGGTAGAACATTTCTACATGGCTGGAACACACACACACACACACACACACACACACACACACACACACACACA